TTTGGTCCATAGTTTATAAAGCAAACTAACATTAATTTTTCATGTAGATTCACACCCTTAAATATTCGCACATCATTAAGGAACACCCTGTATAACTCTAGAGAAGTAACTTAATGATAATACATTATAATCCATTCCACCTTAACTTGTTTCTGTGTGCGATAATTACTAAATAGGAATAATTAAATAGTTCAACCTCTATCAAACTAAGCTCTTTCTTCTTGATACAATAATTACAAAATTAGTTATGTACTAATAATGAGATATTTTACAAAAATGCACTTATTTAGGCCACCTTACATTTAATTTATTACATTTTTTTCAAGTGTTTATTGTATATATACTAAGTGACATATAAATCCGAACACCCAGTTTAAATGGTTTTATTTTAATAAAAGTTGGTGAATGTATTTATCTTACTGTAAATAACAAGTGAAAAATTTTTCAGCCTTATCAGTTGGACATTCCGGTTTTTATACTGCTTTTTTTTAATTCACTAACGCTCTAAAAATGAATATTTCAGCCGCAGTAAAGAATCAACGTTGGCGGATTTTGGTTCTTGACATCCTTTACGATCGGTTACGATGCCTAAAGTACGGAGACCTGTACGATTTCGTCAACTTAGTGAGTTTGATAGGGGTCGTATAGTGGGACTTTCTTTTCGGGCAATTGCAGTTAGAGTGCAAAGTGTAGACACTGTGGTTAGGTGTTGTCTGGCATGGCTTCGAGAAGACCGTGAAGATCGCCGCCTAAGATTATTGGCCTTAAGGGACCGTTTCTCCACTACCAGGTCCATTGCAAATGAATGGTTTGCAGAACACGGAAGACCTATTGGCATGCGAAGTGTTTACCGACGAATGAGAAGTTTTGGCTTGTTTTCATACCGGCCACACTCGGTCCTCCCTTTAACTCGAGAACACCGACGTAATCGCCTTGAGTGGTGCAGACAACGGTCACTCTGGGATCAGGAATGGAACAGTATTGTCTTTAGTGACGAGTCTCGATTTTGTTTAGGCATGCACGATGGTCGTGCCAGGGTTAGAAGGCGACGTGGTCAAAGGAGGAATCCACAGTTTTTTGTTGAAAGACATGTTCAACACACTGTTGGAGTTATGGTTTGGGGTGCTATAGCTTATGGTTCCAGGTCACCTTTAATCTTCATCAGAGGTAACATGAACGCGCAGCGTTATATCCACGAAGTTCTAGAACCCCATATTTTACCCTATCTTGACACCCTGGCAGATCCAACTTTCCAACAAGATAATGCCCGACCACATGTTGCAAGAGTCACAATAGACTTCTTTCAACATAACGATATCACATGTGTGTGGGATATGATGGGTAGGAGATTGCTCAATTTGCAACGTCCTCCTCAGACTCTAGAAGCACTTCGAGAGGAGTTGGTGGTTGCCTGGAATGAGATACCACAGGAGGACATTGACCACCTGATCAGAAGCATGCCTAGGCGCGTTGGAGAATGCGTAGCACATCAGGGTGCATCCACACATTATTAAAGGTCAAAGGGCTTTAAAGCAGTGCAATCATTTTGAAATTTTTATCATTTACTTATTATGCTTCATTAAGTACTTATACAAAATTTTATTAAAATAAAACCATTTAAACTGGGTGTTCGGATTGATATGTCACTTAGTATATGTTAAAAAATGAAAAAATGTTATCAAATCGTTGCTCCAGTTTTTGAACCTGGTCGTCAGAAGACGCTGCCGCCTGACTGTTAGACCAGTTAGTAACTGTTTCTTTCAAAACGTCATCGTGTTTCAATCGCATCCCACCAAAAAATTCCTTGTTGCAAAAAAATGAAAGTCTGATGGTTCTAAGGTTTGCGTGGTGGATGATTCAGTAATTCCCAACGAAACTTGTCGAGTTGCGATTGTGTTCTTGCCGCAACGTGAGGCCGAGCATTGTCGTGAAGCAGAACAGCGCCGCAGGAAGAACCTTTTTTGCGTTTAAGAACCTATTTACTGAGCGCGCATCACACTGAGTGATATAGCCACAAACAAAACAGTATAACCACACAATAGAGACGTGAAACGTAATGGCAGTCTAGTAAAAGACTGGCCAAGAGTGTCTGAGGTTGAACGGACGTTATCCTCGACGTTATCTGACAGGATGAGCAGTTCTTGCTTGACAAATCACCCTTTTATGGACGGCAATCCACAAGTAGTTTTCTTTGAATAACGTATGTCCTAAAAGTTTTGGCACAAAATGTTTAACAGATTTTTTTTTAATAAAGAAATTTATTTAAGTACTAACAAAGTTATCATAAATTACAACTCAATACTCAACTGAACTATACTGTCAAATGGCCAATTCTGCTCTACCAGTCGTAACTTTCTTCGAATGTCTCGCATGATGTCCTTGGACGGAATTCAAATCAATTTCTCAGCCTGCCTAGACAGTAAAGCCCAAAAATCCTCTATTGGGCGAGCCTGCCGAAAGTTTGGAGAATTACTATTATTTTTGGGAACAAAAGGTATATTGTGTTATCGAAGCCAGTTTTGGGTATCCCTTGAGTAATGGCATGATGCTAGGTCCGGCCAAAACATGATATGGCTATTAGCATGATGTTCGTGGACAAAGTGAAGCAATTTGGAAAGGCGGTTATGAATATACCTCTGACTATTCAAAGCGTCACCCCTCACTGTTCCCACAAAAGATTGCGATAGAAGAAAGAAACTGCGCACTAGACAAGAATTTTATCTGCAAACTTCGATTTACGTTTGTGTCTAACATTGTCCGGGCATTCCTCTACGTTATCCATATAAAATCCGTCGTTTGCATTCATTTCAGAATTTCTCAAAGTGAAATACTTTTCGTCATCTAAAATAATGATTTTTCAATTGGCAAAGTGTACCCACCTCAGTTGACGACAGCATCTTCGTATACGGAGGAGTTGCACTCGAGAGTATTTGGGGCACTCATATCTCTTTCGATATTTAATTCCAATGGTATCGAACTCTTAGAAAATCTGTATTGACGAGCCAGTCTTCTTGTTGACATTTCAACCTTATTTTTTGCTCTTCTCACCGATCTCTCTGGCATCGGTGCAGTAAATGCTCGTGGTCTTCCACTTTTTGGGAGGTTCAGACATGATATTCCGTGCTCGCACTCCGCTATTGTTCGATAAATGGTTCTGCATGAGATGTTTTCATTCCGGAATATTCGACAAATTTCAGTTTTGGGCAACTAATAGATACTTCTTCTTATTTCTAACTTATATGACATCTTAAAGTCGAAAACTTCAAAATTAATAAATGTCAACTGACAGTAAAGTAAGTAAATAAACTTTTTTTCCAAAGGCAACTTGATATTATTTTGTGTTTGCTAAAATTAAATTGAGTGAATTTTGTACCAAAACTTTTAGGACATACGTTAGTCACTAATAGTGGTGTATACGAAAACCCAACGTCAACATCAATTGTCGCAAACTATAGTCAGGTACTGGCTCTGTATAACAAGATATTCTGACGTGAGAGAGAAAACCAATAGAAGCCACCAAGAAGAGCTAGCAGGCAAGTATTTCCCTTTCCATCCTTGTTTTCCTTCAGGCTACATCCGTATCCAGATGTAATGGGCATATGTTTTCACTTCGGTGTTTTCGAACACATAAATGTGGACTTGATGAAGCCAATAAGCTGAAACGTGCCTCGCTCGGTTTACCAATCCCTCTATTTCTGACCCTGTTCCTTTACTGCAGCCATGCTCCCAAGTTTTTTATGAAAATTGAATAACTGTCTTCTTCATTGACCAATTTTTTACCTCAGTTCATAAAAGATTATGTTCAATATAAACTAGACCCCCAGACAAACAGAGGTCCACACAATTAGTCCATAGACATTTCACTGCTCTACCTGACACTTGATAGGGTACACTGTGCTAAGGCCCGTGGTGCGGCAGAAATACGTGTAACATACCATACCAGAACAACAACACCCTCCAAGGGCAGCGTCGGGTCACCGGGAGCAGCAGCCGCGGCAGGTAAGTACGCGATCCGTCCGCTGGATAAAACGTTCATAACGGATAAATCTATAATATGTGAAATATGCCAAACATATGCATAGAATTACCAAGGTAGGAAGCGCATAAATGTAATAACATAAAAAGGAATGAGATAAACTATCTCCACCTCCCTAAAATTTGTATTCTTTTTGTTTCTGGCCATTTTCTCTGTCGCCTCTATGCCAATTTTTTCAAAAATTTTACATAGTAGCAACATGTTCATCGGAATCCGAACGGTACTTCTCAAGTTGTAGGAGGTTATAAGATTAGGGGGCAGACCGACAGACTGCAAACTGATGGAAATGAGTGACATGGTTTTCCCGTGATGTACATGTCATATAACAAAAAAAAACATAATATCTCATTTTCAAAACATTTCCCAATAGTTCTCCGCTAGCAGGTGGTAGACAAATAAGTTGTGATTGAAATACAGGCATTTGTTTTACATAACAGTATACAGGGATACCCTAGAGCAGTGGTCGCCAACCTTTTCAGTGTGTTGAGCTACTTTGATAATTTTGGAATAAGCAGTGAGCTACCTAGTCGTAGGCAATGTTAGCCAACTTAAATGAAATTATACACAGTTGTATGCGACATGCATGTGTTTATTTTACTAGTACTAATACATACTAATAAACTTAAATAAACTACATAACTACATCCACTCCTACCAATCGTAGGTGTCTGAGAAATAAACAAAATTTCTCGTCAGCTACAATGGCATGTCACATACGATTTAATAAAGGTAACTAGAAAGAAAAAAAGCAGCGCACTATTTTAAACAAAAGAATTTCCAGATAAAAATGCGTGTTCAATGACAAGCCTGAATTTGATACCGCCATTACAATTATCCAAATGTTCATCTGTAAGTCGATTACGGTATTTGTTTTTAATAAACGTCCTTTGAAAAAACAATAGGTTGAACTTAATGATAACGATTCCACTTTCAAGCAACACGACATAAAACTGAATATTTATCTTTACTTACTGAAGGCCAGATACATACATTTTGTATTTGAGACTAATGATTTTAAAGCTAAATCATTTTGAAACGCAATCGCTTCCATTTCTGTCGCAGCGATGTCTTCGCTAAAATTCTGCGTAACAGAAGTTGCAAACTGTTGGATATCAATTTCCGTGAAGGGTGAAACAACAAGTTGCGCTACTATAGCACTTTCGTTGACATCCTTGGAACGTTTTTTGTAGTTATCCCTCAAGTTAGAGACTATTTCTACATGATATTTATTGTTATATGATTCTAATGTACTTTGAGATATCTTTTCTGAAAGAACAGGAAAATGCCTGATATCGGCATCGATTAAGCTTTTAGATAAACGCTTTTATATCACAAATCATTTCTGATAGTTCTCTGTATCTCCCCTGAAGCTGCAAATCGGCTTCATCTAATTTTTCTGTAATATCTACAAGAAAACCAAAATCTCTAAGCCAGATTGAATTTTCCAGTTCCGGAATCGGTTCATCACGTAGTTTGAAAAATTAAACTATGGCAGATATGATATAATTAAAACGTTTCAGCAATCATCCCTACTTAACCATCGGACTTCAGAGTGAAGAAGTAGTTCCCCGTATTGACAGTCAATTTCATCGGCCAATGTTTTGAAAAATCTTCGTTGTAACGCTTGAGCTCTAGTCTTGTTCACAATTTTTACGAGCAATTTCATAACTTTGTTTAGTTTTAGAAAAGGTTCACATAATGCTTGCTGATGGATGATGCAGTGGTAACAGAGAAATTGCGGAAAACTTTCATCTTTATGACACGAGACCATAATCACGACCCACCATAGGTGGAGCGCCATCGGTTGTCAAGTCTAATAGTTCCGATATTAGAATTTCCTCAGAGCAAATAATATTTTTAAAAGCAAAACAAGTTCTGCCCAGTAGTCTATCCTTTTAGTGGAATAAACTTCAAAAGATCTTTAATCGTAAAAACACTAAAAACCATCCTGACGAACACGGCCTTCTAGAGGTGTCAACGACATCTGTGAATTCATCCAGGTGCAATGAAAAATAAGCACAGTTATCGAAGTCATTTCTTAGCTGTAAAACTATATCATTGCTCATTACTTCAACTCGTCTCATCACTGTATTAGCAGAAAGTTGCATAGATTTTATAGCAGACACTATCTCGTCTTTATTTCTAAAGTCGGCAAATAATGAAGCTGCAGCTTCTAAAAAGTGCCTCTAGATACTCCCTTTTTTAGCAACCGAAACAGATATATTACATAACAAACATACATTTTTACCTTTAATTTCTGTAAAGAAATATTGTTTTTCCCATCCGAATGGAAATGATAACTCTTCATCTGCTTACTACTGCTCATAATGTTTCTAATTGATTGCTGGCCAACACTAATCCAACCGCTGGACTTTGTGCCGTTCAGTTTTAAACTGAGCGCACTGTCGCCGTGCCTTGCGTATTTATTCCGTTCAAAGTAATCGAGATTGTTCTCAAACAGATCGCTCACCGGTCACCGCAGCGTTGCCACTGCTTGTGTGTATTATGAGAATTTACAAAATTTACGGAAGCTTCTATGATTTTACACCTTTTTAAAATATGTTGTGACCCGCCAGAATTGCCTTTGCGAGCTACCGGTAGCTCGCGATCGACGGGTTGGCGACCACCGCCCTAGGGCCTTAAAATTGTTTAGGTTTAGTTGGAGTATATGGAAAAAGGGAAAATAATTAGAATATAATAATGTTCAGGTGCAAAATGTAGATATTCTGTCAAAACGATAATGTTGTAAATCGCCCCATTTTCCCAGTCCTCGTTGTCATAACGGCACGCTCCTCAACCCTGTCCTACCGTACCAATTCCAGCTCCTTGCTTTTTCGATAAAGCGATAGGAACGACGGGCTATTTTCATTTCCCCCGGTTGCCGATCACGACAATAGCCCAGAAATCTGGACTAGGGCGACTACAATGGCCAACAATCGATCCTTCGGCTGATAAACATGACTTCATTATTCGATAAGATTACTTTTATACTCTCGCAACTTTCTCTTACAGACGATGCTTTCTTTGTAGGATTTTCTACGGATATTCTTCGAGACTTTTAGGGAAACGCAGAGTTGTGCCTTTCGTTCGTTGAGGAACGCTGGTATGTGGCAGAAAAATTCCAAACGTTGCTTTCCTTGTACTCATTTCTTTTTGTGTTCTACGATTGTGTGTGATACATTTGGAGTGTTGCAATAAGATGCATGATATATTGTCTTAATAACTAACCTGAGAAATCTTATTTACCGCTTTAGGGCCATATTGTCCGTCGTTCCTACAATTTTAGGACGCCTTTATGGCCTCCTTGATTTTTTTAGTTTTCTACTCTTCCATGTCTGCGCTCTATTTTGAGGTTATGTTACAAATATCTATTTGAATCAAATTGTTCATGCTTTTGATTTATCTCATCTGTTATATAGCCCAAAATTTCCTACAATTCAAGAAGAAAACATAGCCTGGCAATAGGAGAGCGCTGACCCTGACACCGAACAGTAGAAATCTAGAAATATCCCAGCCTTTCTGAAGGAGACTATTGGTAAGCCCTAACATCTTACATGCACTGTTGCATGTTTTTTCAGCATGTAAGTTAAATTTTGAGTCAAAAGTACCTTCCAAGTCCTTGATCTGTAGTTTGTAAAGATCTATAGTTGATGCTATAACAATAATAGGAGAACGAGACCAACTAAATGTAATTTTGAAATATTTTGCATGATTGGAAAGTAAAACGTCCACTCCACACCAATGAGATATATGGTCTAAGTCTCTTTGCAGCAACTCGGCATCATGTTTGATCCCAATGGTTCAAAAAATCTTGGCATCATCCGCAAATAAAAGGATAATTTTGCTGCGTACTAAACTCACGACATCGTTAATGACTATATTAAATAATAACGGATCCAAGTGGGAACCCTGCGGGACTCCAATGGCTATATACTACGAGATATACACCCACCATATTTCACCATTTCAGATGAGAAACTACTTATCCAATTCAAGAGCTGACCCTACACACCATAGTTGCAAATTTTGGAATGGTTAACCCTATAAAACGCTTTATAAAAATTAATAGTTACTGAATAACATCGAGTTGGTACAAGTTGACTTAACGTGAGGCAAACCATGCTGTTAATTGACAATTATGCTTTTAAATTCATTTTGTAGAGTCTTATCCATCAAGCATCATCAATTTCAGGATAAAGTGAACAACACTACACAACAATTTTCAACAATCTCGTATTCTTATTCTCTGACTTAATAATGGGCGTTAAAAATGTTAGTTTCCAATAATTTGGAAATTTCCCAACTGCAGTGATTTATTAAGCAAACAGCACGATGGTTTCGCCAAAGTAAATATACATAAGTATTTATTTTCTTCAATAAATACAAGGAATATTATCAGGGCCAATCGGTAATTTCCAAGGAAGACTCATAACTTCATTTATTATCTCTTTAACATCAGTGTTTACAAAATGCATGTCAACTTTAGATTTGAAATTATGTGAAAGCATTAAGTTGGGATCAATGTTGTGATAGTAGAGAAGTAGTCCGCAAAAGTTGAACTGTAGTTAAAACAGCATTACTAGATGTACCTCCATAAGACATAGTCGAGGAACGTAAAAGGGTCGAAAGAAGTCACAGAGGGCCATTCAGTAATACTCTGTATAAGCTTCTCAGTATTTTTTTCAAAAGTTAATACCTCGCGTTATATCCAGGCGCGTATCACGCCAAGAAAATTACACATCGTCATTGCATAATTTCTAGCGCAAATCAATTTAGCGCGGTCAGACACCCTTTAAAATCCTAAATTATCGCGGCAGGGGTGCCAACCCTCACCACTCCTCGTACACTAACGAAATTGTTTGAACTGTGATGCCAAGTGAGAGACTCGGCGGTAGGGCTTTACAGCGATTCAAGTTGTTTGAAAATCGTAATGAAAAGCCGAAGGGTTGCGAAGAACTGTATGGCTGCTCTAGGGTGTTTGAATTTGGTTATTGTAATGTTCAGGAGGTGTTTCTTATTATTAGTGATTAGGTTGTTCTACATTTTGCTGTTATTGGAAGCCAAATCAGTGTTTGTGTCTATACTGACGTGAGTGTAAAATCCTCAAAATTCACATAAGATATTATACATTTTCAACAATCGCAAATATACCGTTAACGTTGAAAATTGAGGTCGCACTTTTCTTTTTTCGATTTTTGTATTTCAAATACCTGTTTGCAGCAGTATTCTAAGTCCATTTCATCTGATTATTTCATGGTGTGTAAAGAGATGACTAAAAAATAATGTTGCCAGTATTTTTGTAAAAAAGGCATTTTATTGTGCATGTCTTCTTCAATCGTGTTAACAAACAAATACTCTAACTTTTTCCTTGCCGCTATTGACGAGATGTGTTTATGCCGGGGTCAATTCCTCAGTGATCTGGACACTGATCAGCCGAAATGAACGGCTTACAGTACTGTGTTTTAGAAGCATTAAACAAGCAATGATAACTTTAAAATATATACTACAGAAGGATTTAGATTTGGTATCCAATTTTTTTCACGAAAATAAGATGTCGTTAAATATGGACAAATGCCATGTTTTAACTTTTACACGTAAAAAACAATACATAAGTTTTACATACACGATTTAAAGTTTACAGCTAGGCAGAGAAAGCACTTTCAATGATCTTGGAGTTTACTTCAAACTTAACGTTTGTCCAGCATTATGAAAACATTGTGAATTAATCTTATGAACTCCTTGGATTCATAATTAGAAATACAAAACATTTCAAGAATATAAATACAATAATAACTCTGTACGACACTCTAGTGAGTCCTAATTTAGTATATGCATCAACTATTCGGTCACCACAACCATATAGAAATGATTGAGAAAGTGCGAAAGAGATTTCTTAGATATTTGTATTCTAAAAAACATGATATATTCGTACATCCTTTTATGGACTCATATAAGAATATGTTGAATGTATTTAAAATGGCCAAATTAACTGATAGGCGACGTTTGAGTGATGCTGAAGTATGAGAAATGTGATTTATATACATATGTATTATTTGTTGCTAAGAATAAGAAAAAACAAATGGTTTCAGTGTCAAAAGTTAAGTACATAGCTCTCCTATAAATAGGATGATGTACGAATGTAACATTTTTATGCAACGGTGTGATTTATACCTTTCTTGTACATCAGGAGGACAAATCAAGGCTGTGTTTCTAAACAGCACATTGCCTTGATACCATTAGTACGAGTATTATACAGGGTGTTCCTG